ATACGTTTTACCACATTTTGCATACCATAAGAAATAGTGAAAATCATCTTAGAAATGAAATTTCCAGTGGCGCAGCTAGCATCAATAATTAGGGGGCACATATTCATATATTCAATTTGGTACTGTAAAGATAATTGGTTTTAAATGGAACCACGCAGTTGTTTATGAAAAAGTAATTTTCATATGTCCATCATCACTCGGCTCAAAGTACAAAAAGAACGAGACATCAGCTGGAATATTCAGTCCAAAGCGGAGGTGTTATCAGTTGAATCCAAAAGAAGCAAGTCTTAAAAGATCCGCCCGTCTAAAGGTAAACTATATTACACTTTGTTACGTCTTGTTTGAGCTTCTTGCTGGGCTTTCATTCTCAATTTTCATTTTTAAATTACGCTTTCTACCCAGTGTTTCAATCCCACAACTCAAGTTTTATACAATTTTTTTTTTCATTTATAATTAATTTTATAATTTTCAGTACTAAAAATATAATTCTCATAACATTATTCACAACCAACGATGAACAAGGAACAATGAATTAACAAAGAACTATGTATTATATTTCGTGCTTTGTGATTAAAATGAGTACAAATGTCTAATAAAGGGTCTAGAGTCTATTTTTATAGTAAAGTATATAGCTACTATTGTATTGATTATTTTGTTTATGCTTTAAAATTTAAAATCGTTAGGCGGAAAATCATTATCATGCGCCGACTATGATAATTAATATAGTTTTATATTATAAATTTTCATGTTTAATAGGCGAGAAAACTTTACCCAATCCTGCCGTAATAAGGCTTAAATTCCAAAGTAACTATAATCTTTAATCACTATATTCATCGATGTTTCGACATCTGAACAGCGAAATCTTAAAGAGCAGCCACAGGTATGTTAAAAAGGAGCAACTGATGAAGCCCTTGGCAAAAAACCTATATCATGCATGAGAATACTCATTGGCGACAGTTCTTAAAAACTTTTTCGCCCACAAAAAATTAATGTTTTCATATCTCTTACCTGAGCTAGAAAGTGATATTTCACGTTTCGCGAGGGGGATTAATGTTACCAAAGAAGGCTTCTTGTTTATTTCTAACATTACCTAAAATTTGTTGCGACATGATGAGTTGCATGTACGCTAATTTGCATTTTACTTTTAACATTATGGCCTTCAAGTTTTGAAAGTTCATAACTTGAAATTGTCCCGGATCTTGCGCATTGTGTGCCGACCTCTAAATCAATAGAAGAGCCGTTTCGAAACATTGGTACAAATCAACATTCGGCCTACTGATTGTGTTTGAATGTGTATAAATTATATACGCAACGCTTCGTATAAACGCAACCAACGTGAAGAGGCCATGATGAACTACATTTTTACAGATCGCATGACCAAAAGACCTCTGATATATCTGTGCATGTAGTTATATAAGCCGAGCAGCTAGGAGAGGTTTAAATGTAGTGTAAAATATATATGGTGTTTTTGTTGAACAAAATATGTCACAGGAACTGTTTTTGTTCGGAAGTTTTCGCTAGTTTCCCGCACCTTGCAAAATGAAATGTTCTTATCGCCGGTTTCGTTAACGCTAACTGAGCATTTTTTCCTAATCTTCAGTTACATAATTGTTATCATTCCACAGCACACAGTAGCGTAGCCAACCTCACAATTTGTCCCGCTATGCTAATATTTTGGTGTTCATTTACTGTGCATGAAAACAATAAATTTCTAAAGAAATGAATAATTATAAATTGTATAATAACTCGAAATTTACATAGCGGGATAAAATCGTCAGGCTGTGCTATCCTTCTCAGCGCTAGCTGTTCATAACATTTCGTTCGGAAGCGAACGGCCACTGCGAAGGTATTTTCCCCTTGCGCTCGTCTGCGATTTCCATCTGTCGACCGCAACCGAACGGCGACCGCAACCGCAGTGTTATATTAGGTACTGTATCTAAAAGCTGTTATTTTTGAGGCGAGCATATTATTATTATTATTATTTTTATTATTTATTTATTATTATTATTATTATTATTATTATTATTATTATTGTTGTCGTTGTCGTTGTCGTTGTCGTTGTCGTTGTCGTTGTCGTTGTCGTTGTCGTTGTCGTTGTCGTTGTCGTTGTCGTTGTCGTTGTCGTTGTCGTTGTCGTTGTCGTTGTCGTTGTCGTTGTCGTTGTCGTTGTCGTTGTCGTTGTGTCGTTGTCGTTGTCGTTGTCGTTGTCGTTGTCGTTGTCGTTGTCGTTGTCGTTGTCGTTGTCGTTGTCGTTGTCGTTGTCGTTGTCGTTGTGTCGTTGTCGTTGTCGTTGTCGTTGTCGTTGTCGTTGTCGTTGTCGTTGTCGTTGTCGTTGTCGTTGTCGTTGTCGTTGTCGTTGTCGTTGTCGTTGTCGTTGTCGTTGTCGTTGTCGTTGTCGTTGTCGTTGTCGTTGTCGTTGTCGTTGTCGTTGTCGTTGTCGTTGTCGTTGTCGTTGTCGTTGTCGTTGTCGTTGTCGTTGTCGTTGTCGTTGTCGTTGTCGTTGTCGTTGTCGTTGTCGTTGTCGTTGTCGTTGTCGTTGTCGTTGTCGTTGTCGTTGTCGTTGTCGTTGTCGTTGTCGTTGTCGTTGTCGTTGTCGTTGTCGTTGTCGTTGTCGTTGTCGTTGTCGTTGTCGTTGTCGTTGTCGTTGTCGTTGTCGTTGTCGTTGTCGTTGTCGTTGTCGTTGTCGTTGTCGTTGTCGTTGTCGTTGTCGTTGTCGTTGTCGTTGTCGTTGTCGTTGTCGTTGTCGTTGTCGTTGTCGTTGTCGTTGTCGTTGTCGTTATCGTTATCGTTATCGTTATCGTTATCGTTATCGTTATCATTATCATTATCATTATCATTATCATTATCATTATCATTATCATTATCATTATCATTATCATTATCATTATTATTATTATTATTATTATTAATTATTATTTTTATTATTATTATTATTATTATTATTTAAACATATTTAAAAACGGTAGTCCTTCATCAAAAATGATTTTCAAGGGGCCGGCCGTTGCATGCCAAGTATAAAAATAATTAACGTACATAAAGTTTATACCTATATAACTATATACATCATATATTTACATTAATTTAAGTTAGGAAAAAAAGACAATCACAGATCATAAATAAAAACGCGGATGAATAATCAACACATTTAGCTATTCAACACATTTTTAAACTGACCAATTGTAAGTCCTTCAGTTTTTGCAACATTTGGCAAATTATTCCACAGCATCGCTCCAGAATAACTTGTGTTCTTTTTCATTAAATTAGTTTTAGGCTTCGGAATTAGAAAATTAATGTTGTTACTTCTCAAATTATTATGGAACTGGTTGTCCCGTACTTCAAACATCTATTGCTTGATTTATGCAGTTATTGCTTACTCTGTACATAAAGGTTACTGTTTTTGTTTTCATCCTATTAATTATTGGTTGCCAGCCTAATTTATTCAGTATATCGCTAGATCCTATTTCATACGATTTACCCATTATGACCCTTGCATCCCTGTTCTGCATTCTTTGTAACTTTTCTATTAAATAATGGCTAGAGTCATCTCAAACAAGACTACAATGGTCGAAATGGGTTAGCTAGAAAGAGGAACTGAAATGTACCTGCCATTTTGAGAATTGGTTCAAGTTTAGAACATTTAGAATTAAGGATGCTCAAGTAATAAATTAATATAAATAAATAATTTTTATTTATAATTCAATAAATATTTTTTTTTATTGAACGTTCAAATATATTTTGTTATTGGTTTTTCATTATTTAACGATGCAAGAGGTTGTACGCGGGTATTGATTCCACCATAGTTACCCGAAAATGTGTTTTTTCATGGCATTAATCCACAATTAGCATTTTGATCCGTTATAATTTGCATTACATGAAGTAGCGCACGCACTCATTATTAAAAAATGTGAATGAATTATAAATATATACAAGGTTGGCAAGTATATTACTGTATACAAATAATATGTCAATAAAAAAATACATCATAAACACTTCAATCTCTTAAAAAAACAAATCAGTATGAGCACGAGAAAATTTTAAACAGGTATCCTGTTATTTTTGCTCTCAAATCACACCAAAAAGGCTGAATTTATCGAAAATTCGTCAAAATTTAGCGAATTTTTTTCAAAACCATGCGGAATGATAGGTGCCTGCCTTATGTCACAGATTTATGCCCTGTGATTGGCTGATACTGGGTTGACGTGGGCGTTGCTTGGGCGAATCGCTAAAGTCAGCCAATCAGAGGGCATCAATTTGTGACGTAAGGCAAGCAATTATCATCTCGCATGATTTTGAAAAAATTTTGACGATTTTTCGATAAATTTAGCCTTTTTGTTGTGATTTAAGACCAAAAAATGAAAGGATACATGTTTAAAATTTACTCGTGCTTATACTGATCTTTTTGTGTGTTTTTGATGTATTTTTTCATTGAGATATTATTTGTATACGGTAATATACTTGCCAACCTCCTATATATTTTATACATAAGAGATCATTGACATTTTTGTGCGCGCGCTACTTCATGTAATGCAAATTATAACGGATCAAAATGCTAATTGTAGATTAATGCCATGAAAAAAACACATTTTCGGGTCACGTATGATTCCATCGAGGATCTGGAGTGGCACCCAGACTGATTTTTACGGAACAATGCCACAGTTCTGCCTGTCATGGATGGTGGGCCATTGAAATTTGATTTGAAATCAAATATAAAACTTCGATTTTCACTCTAGTGATAATTAAGTAAAACTGCATGAAATGCATAGTTATGCATAGTTAAAGAGACTTAAAGTATAAAGTTCTACTAAGTAAATAACCTCAAATACCGTGTTGAGCATTAGAGAGCTTGTCTAAGACAATGACATGAATTTAGGCTTCAATATATTAGTTGGAACTTAAAAAATATATGGAGAAAAAGGCACATTCGTAAATACCATCGAGACTATTAGACTTTATTATTTTTATAGACTGACTGCACATTTTTGACATAACTTTAACTTTAGAATGAGGACTAAACGAAGCCAGCGTAAACCAATCATATTTGGCAACTGTAAAGAAGTTTTGCAGACGGTTGTAATGATTTATTTTGCTGCAAACCTCGTTTTCGGAGAAGAAGAAGAGTCTGAATTTTGTAAAAGAGGATGGTCTGAATTTGTTCAAGACAGAAAGCAATGGGAAAGAGAATGCTTAAATGACATTGATATCAAAATATCACAGTGTTGTAACGAGACATATCACAATCTTGATGATAGATTTAATGACTACATAAAGTTGTGTCCCATTGTGGGTAAGTTTAAATGATCGTGAGTACGTATACTCGGTTGCCCTTCTTTACAAAATTTGCTTTAGTTGATATTATTTTTAGGAGATGATTTGTATTTCAATAAAAATTAAGTAACTGTGCAATATTTTAAAAACGTTTTTGACGAATAATTCATCCCAAAGTTTTGTAAATAAAATTTTATTTCAATATATATTTATTTCGTATATCCCAGGCTAAATTAGCCGAGTATGATCTACAGATATTACAGTTAGAACCCAGCTGAAAAAATATTGCAGCCCTTTTAACTGTTCAATCATGTTCGTGGAAACAATCCTGTTTTCATTGGACTGGCTACGTTTTAGCCATGTAGCTAGTATACTGCTGAGGATTAATCTAATTGTGTTAACGCTAACTATAGTTAATTTTGAGCCTGCTGATATGAGCACACTCCACATATTTTTTAAGCAAGCTATATCCCCATGCGATTATTTTAAGTGACAGCCATTTAAGTCTTTAAAAAACGAAATAAATTTGGCATTCTTTTTTCTTAGAGGGAAAATGCACATGTCATTTTAAAGAGCAAGGAATAGACCGTTTTACTTACAGTAGCTTGTCAGATCCAGTATCTTGGACGAAGCCAAATATTTCATGTTGGCACAAGTTTCAACTCCGTCGTCTAAAAGTGGAGCCAGACGTAAGATCACCGCACAGTTTTCCTGTCGGTTTTAATAAAATCAAGAATATATTTCAACTGTATGGAGGGCGGGAGAAATCCTGTGTTATTATTGTTTATGTTCGCTCCTGTAAGGGCAAAGGCGAAGGCAAGTATTATGCCTATAAAGAATTTTCAACTCTTTCCTACTAACTTCTCATCTACAAACAAGGCAGTTTCATGCAGTCATACATTTAAGTCTTAATTCATGTCAATCACACTTTCCTTTCTGTTCTTTTCGCAAACATGTTCCTGTACAACCATCTTGTTTGTTTCGAATTGAGGAATATGGAAACACATTTTCATTAGGAATTTTTCGATTTGAATTTGTGTTATTTTATTTTATTTACATGTTTTACAACTTCGATTTGCACTCTAGTGATAATTAAGTAAAACTGCATGAAATGCATAGTTGTGCATAGTTAAAAAGGCTTAAAGTATAAAGTTCTACTAAGTAAGTAACCTCAAATACCGTGTTGTGCATTAACGTGCTAAGAACTAGACAGATGGGACAGCGGGAGGCTTTTGCCTGAGAGAGCAGGCAGCACTCGTTCCTGCCGCGGGCAAGGCACCGGCTAGATCATCGCCCCCCTTTTGCAAGCAGGCTGCCAGGGTTAGTTCGATTCAGTCCCCCCCTGGCGGAGAGCCTATAAGGTTTACGTCATCACTCCACAGTGGTAATCGGCGAAAGCACGGGCAGCTGTGGTCAGAAACACATTTTCATTATGAATTTTTCGATTTGAATTTGTATTATTTTATTTTATTTACATGTTTTAAAACTTTTACACAGAAAGGGAAAAAACAGTCAAGGAATATACCAGAAAAAGAGGTGGGTTTACAACCACTTTTGTCAGTAATTTTTAGGAAAGGGAAGATATAGCATCACTCAATCTTCTACACGTTTCATACAACACTGTTGTGTGAATAAATAATTTGTCAGTGAATTTCAAACAGTATACCGACTACTTTAGTACTTAAGTAGAGTATATTGTCTAAGTGGATCATTTTGTATATTGCTATGTACTGTATTAATTTGTATAATCGTGTTTGTTTACAATCGGGTTGTATCTGTATATAGATTGTCACAGTTGGTTGATAAAATTAAAACAATCGCAATATTCTCGTTCTCGAATTGAGCGACACTGATCTAAATAATGAACTGAAACCCGAACAACACGATACCACACACAACCTCATCGCTTACCGGCCTGCATTTCTGGCCATTAGGGTTTCTGAAAATAAACAGCGTTTTAAGCCCTGTGGAGACGGGCAAGCCAAGTTTTATTTGCTCGGGTGTACGCATAAAAAATTTCCTTGGCAAGGAGCCTTGTTCAAAAGCTGGTCATGAGAAAATTGCGCAACAATATCTTCGAGCAAATTGAGCGGTTTTTGGAAGTTTTATCATTTCTGTTTGTCTTGAGACTCGATTGTATACTCATTTTATCACATTTTCGTAAAATTTATACACTCGACTTATATAATTATTATTGTCAAAGAAAAAATGTCAAGGAAAACTTGTTCGTCATACACACAAGCAAATGAACTGGTCAAGAAAGCTTGTCAAGGCAAACAAGCACATTGTATTTGCTTTAAGGTTGCAAAAAAGATATTCTCGTTCTCTGGGACAGTTCCAAATTCGTTGGCCTCAATCCCCACGTTAAAATCCTGCGGAAGTTTATTAAAAATGAAAAACTAGGAGTGGATGAAGAAGGCACCCATCTGGGTTTCATCAGCTTCTCAAATAACAGAGCAAGAGAATTATTGAAAGTTGGAGAAATTAGGAATAAAACACGGTTGTTTAAGTGGCTGGATAGTATTCATGTTTACAATGACTCAAATAGCTATAGCAACGCGACCAGAAAAAGGGTTTGTGATCTTGTAAACAGTGTAAGTGTAACAAAATGTTGCTGGTCCCCACATGCACGCCCTTATTAATCAAAAAAGGTAAAAATCACCATTGGTTTCTCAGCAGTTTAATAATCACGGATCAATTAAGTGATTAATAAGACCTTTCCTAATAGCTAGCAAAAGATTAAGTAACGTTTCTGTTCACAAAGTCTTTAGGTCATGTATTGGTATAGGAGTTATAGGAGATATTTTGCGTCCTCGATCAGGAAAAAGTGGGAGAAAATCAAATATATAGGCTCTCAGAAATTTGTGATTTCAGAGTCCGATAATACGTGAATAACGTAATTCTAAGTTGTTGCTATGTTTTTTAAAGGTATTAAACGACACAAGCCCTAAGAATCTCCGTCCTGATGTGGACGACGTTATTTTGTTGCTATTGCTAAGCAACGGAACACACGATAATATTTTAAAAGATCGAAAAGGCTCCTAAATGAATGTATAAATGTTAAAAAGAATATCGCAATTGTTGGTTTAACAGCGGCATTTCAGAAAAATTCAACTTCTCAGGCTTTATACTTAGTGTCAAACGACGGCCGACACCAGAGCGTGTGTTTGAAGTAAAATCAGACACGTTGGAAAAAGTTTTGAATGAAACGATCGATGCTTCCTGCTCGACATTCGGTAAGTTTTGGTGAAGCTTTTTGGATATATTTTAAAAGGATAATTATTACTGGCAAGATTTCTATTGAGACATGATTGGATTAGAACCTTCGCATATTTGTATTGGCAGGTGTTATCCGGGGGTAAAAATACTAAATGATTATTTAGGAGAGAGGAGATCATTAAAGGTACGAATTACAAGAAAAACAAAATTTTTCACATGTTTCTCCAGTTTCTCTTTACTTTCACGGATAACACTAGAAAGAAGAGACAGATGATATCAGCGCTATGCCACATACCTATTAAATCTGCTGTAGGGGCTTGTGCAGCCTCGTTACCAGTCGCTTTAAATAAAATAAATATAGGAACACTACAGGCTTTTACATAAACCAGTGGCTAACAGAGCGAGCGCACAAAGAATTTTCGGGACGACGCGACGGAGAAATGGAGCGCCTGGCAGAAAATGCAAATATTTTTTTCCACAAATATGATTTTTGACAGATCGAGCTTTTCGGCGTTTTACTCGTGCATTTTTGCGTTTTTGGTGGTTTGTGGCCATATGGATGACCTGGAGCATTCGCTGAAGAAGTTCTCATTTGACGGTAATATTTTTTACCGAATTTGGTTGCATTTTATATAATATTTAGTACGTTTTTAAATATGCTAATAATAATATCCGTCGACCGCTATCATAATTATTCTGATGATAAAATTGTCCTTACAATAGCATCTTCAAGTTCTGATGATGGTTTGGATTTATCGTCGCTTGGGGAACAAAATGTTCAAGCCGTAAGTCACTTGGTATTCGCGTTGGAAATTTATTTTCCCGGCTGAATACATTAAGCTGATATATTTTCCACTGACATTAAAATATACGTATGCGCATGTTCTATGTTTTTAAATGTTATACAGTATGTATATTTCAAATACTTTGTATGCATGTTAACTGGGCCAGCTCCGCCAGTCAAACCTGAAGTTGACATTTCAATAGATTTGCCTCCCAGTATGTCTTTCATTTGTATGCCCCAACATGTTCCCTGTGTTTAATAAACAATTATAGGATGAGGTTTTTGTGATATGCAGAGTTATCGAGGTCAAGGTAAGCTATCAGCCGAGCCGAAGGCTATCTACTAAAGCTATCTTTTCTTGCAGATGGATGTCAGGGTCAATGAACCACCATAACTCGCGGAGATTAAAATTTAATTTAAAATATAATTCATATATACACCATAAAATAATAAATCCAATAGGCTTGCATGTAAGTAAGCATTTTGTAATATATGTATTCAACTTGATATATAACCTCTTATCACATTTCTAATGAACTTGGGTGTTAACACAAAATAATAATATATCATCAGAATCCTTTTTAATGCATTAATGCATTATACCTACTGTATTCTAGCATCAAATGTGGTATAACAACGCCTAAATAGACAAAACACTTCTCGACGTTTTGACATGAAGGCCTTCGTCAGGAGAGTTAGTATGATGCTAGTTGTTTGAAGACGCTGCCACGCTGCTCGGCTCCCTGGTTTTATGGGAACTACTGTATTCTAGCATATAATTTGTCAAGGGGCCAATGCAAAAAAAGAAGGCACAGATTGGCCTCAGATTTGGAATGAATCGTGAAATATAATAAATTATGGATTCAAATGTATATGTAAAACTTTCTTCGATTTGTCCTGTGAATTGTGCCGCAGCCATTTTAATATCAAAGCTTTTTATTGCGGGGAAGAATGCTTTTTAAAAGGAAAGAGAAGGAATCTTATGAAAAGAAAACATGCAATAAACACAAAAGCTAAAATAGATTCATCTTGATACCATTGCCATTTTGGAGCAAGAAATCATTCCTAGAGTTAAAAACCACGACCTGCCGACAAAAGAAAAAAAGTAAAGTAAAAACAAATTCCGAATAAACAGGACATCTTGAGAGTCAAAATATGAATTAAGCAAGACACAGGTTGAGACTTTATTTTAAACTTTAAAGTCATCTTCACACAGAATGAAATACAATACTTTACAACGCATAATTATATACACAAAACAGAGAGAAGAGGACCGATAGTGAACTCATTTTTCCATCAATTGTTCCTAGCTTGAATTTAAAGTGTGTATAATTCCACTCGAAATTAAGACGATTTGAACCTTAAGAATTTACCTGCATCGTGTGAAGTGCCAAAAATCATAACTGATATACAGAGAGAGCGCTCACGTGTCAATCCAGCATGTGGGCGGAAGGCCATCAGTTAATCCAAACAAGGGGAAACCTGATGTTACGAATAAAACTAAATAATATTATTTAGTTTTATTCGTAAAATTTACAAGTAGTTTCACTGCAAGACTTCTAGCATTTTACGAGTAGCTTCTAATTTTACTATGTTTAATTTCCCTCAATCCAGGCAAATGCGAATGCAAAAATGGTAAAAATTATGAGTTTACCACATATACTAAACCCGGAGCAAATGCTGGATTGGTCAATTGGACAATACCGGAAGTCACATGTTCTGATTATGAGAGAGGCCAGGTTGATCCTCCTTATGATGCGTCTCCTGCAAATTTGCAACTGGGCAGACACGTGATTACCTACCCATTCTCGTATAAACGTGATGGCAAAGTGGTTCAATTTAAATGTTTTGTAAATTTAACTGTTGTCCGTAAGTATTTATAACAGTTCTCTTTCAGGTGTAACACATGCACCTGCTTGCCAGGTTTGAAACCTAGCAATTTTTTTACGATTAAGTTATTTAAGAGTTTATTACGATTCAATCTCATTTTAATTTCTCATTTAGCTTGTGCATGTACATGCCCTCAAATTGTTACGAGGGTTGTGCGCAGTCAAACAGAAAAAGCTTTCATCAGTTGGTTAGAGCCTAAACCTAGATGCCCGACAACGCCAAGTGCAGGCAATCCTAACACAACCAGTGGATGGTTCTCTGTTGGTAATTACACGCGGAACTACAACTACAGTTTCATGAGCAACTATCAGACATTTCCTATTGAATGCTATGTAAGAATTATTATAGCAGGTATGTTAATAGACAACTAATGTCTTTCGCCCTGGTTTAGTATCTGTATCTCATTCGAAATTTACGACAACCAATATTGTACTGCAAAGTGATTCATGAGTCTTTGAGTTCAGAAAAGCTCGTAAAATCACTTAAATAATGATCGTGAAGTGTTCATTATGACAAATTGTTTCCCACATTCCGTGGTTAGAAAATCATTCATCTGTATAAGCACCCTCAAACAGCAGTTTAAAAAATCAATTAGCCTATATAGCTCATGTTAATCTAACCCTGCAGAAATCGAGCGAGATTTAAATCGCATCTTTGGGTATCTAGACCGCTGTTCTAGAAACTTAGCTATGGACTATAGCAATCTGGGGTCAGCATATCGAGTTGTTTCCGTTCTAATTGCAAGAAATCTTTTCTGCATGAGGCCTAGGACTTAACGCGCTTGTCATGGAGGACACAAGACAAGTGTTCTTTCCGACACTGACTGGATAGCTGATGCAATTGGTAAACTGAAGCGGCGGTCAAGCTAAGATACCTTAAGGTTGCTCCCAACAGTTTTAAGAATATTGAAAACTAATAATTTAGATTAAAATTTTTCGCAGGAAATTTCTTGCTAAACGAAATGAAATTTTCCAGATATATTAACCAAAATTCTAACAGTCGAAAATTGTCGTTGTTATGGTAAACTGTTGTTATGGTAACAATGGCAATTCAATATGGCCGTCATTTTACCTACTCACGCATTTTACTCGAAAACAAGTTCGGGTTACCCCAGTTTTTTATTTTATAAAAAGTTTTCTAACAAAAAAATGGGAAATTTGAGCAAGTTTAAAAAAATTCTATAGAGCCAAAAAATTTCAATAACGAAGATTTTTTTTTAACTGGTTTAAATTTTCCATTTTTTTGTAAGAACACTTTTTATAAAATAAAAATTTGGGGTAACTGAACTTGTTTTCGAGTGAAATGCGTGAATAGTAAAATGTCGGCCATATTGAATCGCTATTGTTACCATAACAACGGTAATGACGTCATGCTTATGGGCAATTTCTGACTGTTAGAATGTTGGTTAATATATCTGGGAAATTTCTTTTCCTCAACAAGAAATCTCGTGCTAAAATTAAATCAAAACCACAAGTTTTCAATATTTTAAAAAATTGTAGGGAGCCACCTTAAGATGCGAGCTCAAATCACGCTCGAGAGAACGAATTTATGAATTTGACGAATCTTTGAAACAATGCATGGTTTATAAAAGCTACGAAAATCGCTCAGTGAGTTTATAACTAACTATAATGAGGCCATCCATGTAATAAGTCAGTTGCGATTTTGTTACACTTCACTCGATGTAGATAAATTCTGAAGGTTTTTTAAATGGTCTTAGTTTCCAGTGGAATCATACACAACTCAATTCAAGCCAGGAACCGAGTTGAGAAAATTTAGTCAACTATCGGTCCTCCGGCAGGAATCGAACCGGCACCAGCATCGCATAAAGGCTCTTTTCCACTCATCGCAAAACGTCCTCGCAGCGAGCTTGCGAGGAGTCTCAAACCGCGCTGCCAATTTCCACACTTAGCTTTGCCATTAATTCGCGTGCTATTTTCGTGCTATTTTTACTTGCAAAATGGCGGCTGCCTTTAATCGGCGCCTTTTGCTATTATTGTATTTAAGACGTCGTAGGCGAAGACGCCTAAAGTATTTAAAGCGTTTTTGGGTTAGGCCGATTTTCCTAAGACGAGAACAACATGGGGAGTACTTCAAGTTGGTTAAAGAAATGAAAGACGAAGACCACGAAAGCTACTTCGCATACTTTAGAATGCTCCCTCAACAATTTGATTTCTTGTTGTCTCTGGTTGAGCCTCTTATCGGCAAATGCAACAGGAGAAGAGATACTATTTCTTCATCAGAAAGGCTTGCTTTGACATTACGTTATTTGGCGTCTGGTGACAGCCCTCAAAGCTTATCATTCAGCTACAGGATTGGCTTGACTACTGTTCATAGAATAATTGGGGATGTTACTGAAGCAATCTGGTCCACTCTTTTGAGTGCAGGATATATTAAAGCACCAGAGAGTTCTTTTGAGTAGGAGAAAATAGCAGGAGAGTTTGAAAGACGGTGGAACTTCCCTCATTGTTGTGGAGCCATGGATGGAAAGCACATCAGGATGCAAGCTCCCCCATCAGCTGGTAGCAGATATTATAATTACAAACTGTGGCACAGCATTGTCCTACTTGCAGTTGTATCAGCTGATTATACTTTTTTATTGATTGATGTTGGTGACTGTGGTCGCCATAGTACGTGATGGAGGTGTTTTGCAGAACTCCCACTTTGGTGCAGCGCTGTTAACAGATCAACTTGGTTTACCATGCTCAAAACCACTTGCTGGTGTGGATCCAAATGTAAAGATACCTTTTATGTTTGTGGCTGATGAAGCATTTCCATTAAGATGCAACATCATGCGTCCATATCCTGGCAAGAACCTGACAGAAGCAAAAAGGGTCTTTAATTACCGTTTATCAAGGGCGAGGAAGATTGTAGAAAATGCTTTTGGCATTGCTGCATCGAGATTCCGCATCTTGAGACAAGAAATTATTGCCAACCCTAGCAAAGTAGAAAGTATTTCCAAAGCAGTTGTGGCCTTACATAATTTTCTAATAGTTTCTGAGCAGCATGTACCTGCTGGGTCTAGGATGTATTGTCCACCAGGATTTGCAGACTGTGAAGACAGGTAAGAAAATTTTTACTTGAATTTGAAGTTTCTATTTGAATAATTTTCCCTGGATAATTTAATGCAGATTTTGCATTGTTTGTACCTAATTTAATTACACCTATAATTACAAGTGGTAGGAATATGTAGATGGCATGTTTACAAGATGCCATCTTGGACAACACCTAATTCTTACCCACTGTGTCTATTTCACCATTTCACCAGGAGGCATTTACCTACTGGTGAGACTACACTTCAGTCCCTGAGCAGGCAGGGAAGCAATTTTTTTACTAGAGATGCTGCACAAGTACGAGAAGAACTAATGAAATACTTTTGTTCAGCAACAGGACAGGTTTCATGGCAGCTGCAACATGTTCGTGCAGATGGTAATGATGCAAATTAATCCAATTCTGCATAGTTTTATTGGTTGTGTTAAATAAGCCATACAGAAAAATGGTTGTGTGAAATTTTTGAAATAATTATATATCAAACAAAAGGGGCAAATACTGCAATTTCAAATTTTGTATTTAGTAGTTTATACAGAAGAGTGTACAATTAAAAAGGAATAGAATGAATTTACAGTATATAGTCATGCTATTAATACAAAATCACACTCATGATTAAATAATGCAACCTCCTACTGTGTGATCAGCTTTTTTGTAATCATTTGTATGATTTTTGCATTAATAGACATAATAGTACTCCTATAAATCATTCGATGAATTTGTAATTAGTTTGGAGGATAATATTTATTAACAATTAATAACCAATTGCAAAATACAATAATTGTATGAATTTATAACATATTTCAACATTTTTTTCCAACTGTATTAAATATATGTATATATGTACATTAACAAATATATGTATATCAATTATATAAATTATATATCAATTTATTATATAAAATAATTCAGAACAAACAGGTTCACACAACACAAAATGTTCGAAGTATAACCTCAACAAATTTGAAAAGACTGTTTGGTAGCCAAGATTAATTTTCTGTGAGTGGCAACCCACACTCAACTTGAAACAATACTTCTGTGATTTTCATCTTTGCTAAAGCTTTCTGATAATTATCAAAGCTTCTCAGAGTGTGGGCAATTGAGTTTCCAAAGGAAGCCTCGGCATCTGTTTCACTTTGGCCAACATTGGAACTTTTATCTTCCTTTAACAATTTCAAGAGTGCTATATCAACTTCCTGGTCAACATTTTTTTTCTTCTTTATCGGAGAATTATGCACACTTGATGGCATTCTTTTTAAATCTAGCTTCTCTGTACTAGTTTTGTTGTTGGTTGACACTTCAGGAGAAGAAACTTCCAATGGCAATGTGCTACTGCTTTGCAATGGTAATTCAATTTCACTGCATTCACCTTTCTCTGGACAAGCTTTTCCTTCATTTTCACTGTATGTTGGCACAAAACCAATGTTACTGGAACTTGTTCTGTGTGAAATGCAATCTCTTACAAACTGCATATGCTCAAACCACCTCCATCTTATCACTTTCTTTCTTCCTGATCCAGATGGAAGTTTTTCACGTCGAACATTTTCTGTAAATGTGTCACGAAGTCCTTTCCATTTAGTTTGACAAATGTGAACTGTATAAATGTAATGGTAGAATTACTAAAAGGCCATTTTAATTTCTTACAAAACAAACGCCTATGTTGTTTACTTTTCAAAACTTCCAAACTTGAGTTGAGATACGATTGGGATAAATAAACAAGCACTGCGTAAAATATTAAACAGAAAGGAAGCAACTAATACTTTCATTATGGCGAACACAAACAAAAAAAAGCTAGAAATCTTCAACTAACCTGGAAATTCCAGTTCATCAGCGACTTTCTTCCATGCATTCTCTTTCATACTTTTGTTCTTGTACTCTTTATATGTGACATCGAAGAGAACTTTGTATTTTTTAACATTTTCTATTAGCATTTCAATCTTGGTATTTGTCCAAACGATAGAAACATTGACTTCATTTTCCACGTTTTCTTCCTCAATCGCAGCCATTTTGCTCTCACTGTCAGTCACGTGACATTTTAAACGAATTTTATTGGCTAATAGAACTTTTGTTCGCGCAAGCAGAAAATATTGTTCAGATTATTTAACTTTGCTGCAAATCATAGTACCTCGCTGCGAATTACTCGCAGGCACTCGCAGCGAGCTTACGAGTGGGTTTTGCGATGAGTGGAAAAGAGCCTTAAGCCTAGGTTCCATTCCTGCCGGAAGACCGATAGTTGACTAATTTTCTCAACTCGGTTCCTGGCCTTGAGTCGAGTTGTGTATGATTCCACTCGAAATTAAGACCTTTTAAAAAAAACCATCTATGTAATAACTAGATGTTTTCAATTTTGTAATATTTTTATTAATTTCTTCCTTAGTCTGCGAATGCCCGCGCACGCAAACCGCAAATAATGTGGTAAAGAAAGCAAGCGATAAAGCCTTGATCACTTGGTCAGAACCTAAGCCCCGATGCCAGACGATACCAAGTGCAAGAAATCCGACCTCAACCCGGGGACGGTTTTCTGTTGGCAACCACGTGCGGATCTACAGATACACGTACGAAAGCAAATATCAAACATTTAATCTTGAATGCCGTGTAAGAATTGTTG